ACCCCCTCATATACACCCTGAGGAACAAGGAGGTAAAGAGGGCCTTCTGGAGGCTGCTGGGGAAGGAAGTGGAGCCCAGCTGACACTCTCGGTATGTTGAATAGATTCTGCACAGCTTTATCAAAAGGTTTAAGTTTTCCTCCCCACCCTCTCCAGACCTATCCTGCCACTGTAGTGGATGACAGAATATAAGACAAAAGGGTATTCACTAAAGGAATATATTTGTGTGAAACTTTGCCACATGAATTTAATGTAATCTATCACTTCACCACTGTCCTCATCTCATGGACTTTGTTTCTAATTCCCTTCCCAGTGTGTCACTATTTTTTTTTTAAGATTTTATTTTGATGTAATGTCTTTCCGGGTGTGAGTGTGTGTGTCTGAGGAAGCAAGTTACCCAACATGGATGCCTAATTTGAACTCTGGTCCTTTGAAAGAACACAAATACTCTTAATGCTGAGCCAACACTCTTGCCCTTATCACTATTTTTTTTTTTTTGCATTTGTTTTCCACCATATTTTTGCTGCATCTCCTCCGAGTTTCTTTGTAATTCCTTTATGTTCTCTTCCTGTTTTATCCCTCCCAAAATCAGCAAGAGTTGACACGAAACTAAAACTTAGTTCAGAAACTCAACCAAAAACAGTATTAGGATGTTTGCCTAAAATCTAGGCCCCAAGACTTCCAGTCAGACCATTCCCAAATGCATGCTTCTGGTCCCATACCATAATAAAATGCCCTAGTATCCTTAGCTTGATACCAGAACAAAGCCATGGGAGTAGGCTGAAATGCAGTCCTATCTTTATCTTTACCAATGCTAGACACCAAGCTCACAAACAGGAATGGCTTCCTTTTAAGGTAGGAAGAGGGCCTCTGACTCTACCCAGAAGGGTATCAAAGCAGATGCTGAGACTCATAGCCAAACTTTGGACAGAGTGTAGGGAAAGAAGGGGGAGATAAGAAGACCTGGAGGGGACAGGAGCTCCACAAGAAACAAGAGAATCAAAAAAAAATCTGGGTCCAGGGGTCTTTTGTGAGATTGATACTCCAACCCAGGACCATTCATGGTAGTAACCTAGAACCCCTGCTCAGGTGTAGCCCATGGCAGCTCAGTGTCCAAGAGGGTTTCCCAGTAAGGGGAACATGGACTGTCTCTGACATGAACTCAGTGGCTGGCTCTTAGATGACCTCCCCCTGAGAGGGGAGCAGCCTTACCAGGCCACAGAGGAAGACAATGCAGCCAGTCTTGATGAGACCAGATAGGCTAGGGTCAGAGGGAAGGAGAGGAGGACTTCCCCTATCAGTGGACTTAGAGAGGGGCATGGGAGGATGGAATTGGGAGGGAATAAGGGAGAAGGCTACAGCTTGGATACAAAATGAGTTAACTGTAATTAATAAAAATTAAAAAAAAAAAAAAAGGTAGGAAGAACAATTTCAGCGCTAGGGTTTTGATGCCATCTACTGGTTAGACCTGGAACAACCAGGTCACCTAAGTCCCCTCCCTAAACAGAAGCACACGCCAGGGTTTCTGGGGGTAATTAATGATATAGTTAGTGAGATATACTTATGTTTTGTGGTGCCTTGGGTACTGTTTAAAGTATTGTACAACCCTTGCCCCATTTCATCCTTGTAGCATTATGAAGCCTTTGTAATTAATGCAATGTACTTATATATGACTTAGGATGTTCCAGGAACTGTTTGAGGTAATTTACACCTTTTGATCCATCTCATTCTTGTAGTATTATGAAGCTGTTGTTGTTGTTTTGAGACAGGGTTTCTGTGTGTAGCCTTGAATTTACAGAGATTAGCCTGCCTCTGCCTCCCAAATCCTGGGATTGAGGGTGTAAACCACCGCCACCCAGCATGAAGCTCTTTTTGATGCAAAAACTGAGAGTTCTGCTAGGACTGGCAGCCAAGAGGGCAGAACACGGTCCTCCTGCTCTTAGTCCTGGCTTCATACAGAGCCTTCCTAGCCCAAGTGAGAAGCCTCAATTTCTCCTCCAACCAATCTGAACTACACATGTCCATCCTGAGACTTGCCTCCCGGTAGAAGATTCCAAATGCAAGGCCATGGGCTTGAGTTCCAGCACACCAACACTTGCCTTCTCTCCTCATAGACACCCTCATCCCTAATCCTTCCTGCTTTTCTCAATTCCAGGAAAACAGCTCCTTCTTCCCTATTTTGTCCCTCTTCATTATTAGCCAGCCCAAATCCCAAACCTGCTTGCCCTGACACTCTGGGCAGTTTTTTTTTTTTTTTTTTTTTTCTCTGAAGAGCCATATCCACAGCACATACCTCCCACACAGCTGCTCAAACATCCACCGCTGAGCTCATGCTTTCTAGACTCAGAGAGCTTAACACTCCCTCTCTTAGCCAGCTCTCTCCTCTTGCCAGCAGCTGAGATTTAGGGATTGCCTATCTTTTCTCTCCCTGAACCCAACTCCAAATATTGTCCCCAAGTGTTCCTGAGTCCCCTTTTAAATTCTTTGATCTACAAGACCAAGAAACCCCAGATTTCTCCAATACGCGGCAGACATTTTTCTTGAAACTTGACCCAAAGCAGAGAATAAAATTTAAATTATGTGCTGACTTGAGAGTTGGCATTATCTGAGAAGAAACTGTGGCCTTGTTACGTTGTTGTGCAGGCAATTCAACAGGCCTGCCCTCAGGGGCCTTTAGGGTTGTGACATCACCTGGGCCAGGTGATGGAGATGTACCCTGCCCGCCACAGGCGCTCTCTGCCTCGGTTTCTCTCCCCTTTCCTGCTCTCCCTGACTTCCCCGGAGGTGGAGGGAGTACGCTGCTCCTTTCTCTTCTCCCATGCTCTCCCACTGTCTCTTTTTCTCTCTACCCTCAAGGCCTACTCAGGCCGTAACTCCTCTCCCTTTTCCTTCCCCCACATAAATCTCTCACCAGATATGTTCAGTGTGTGGCATCAGGATGGGGAGACCTCAGAAAGATAGAGCAAGGAACCAAGGATCGTGAAGGCATGACCAGAAGAACCCCTAAGTTTCCAACCTACAGTACTTAGGGTCTCCCCCACGTGTGTACTGAACACAAGTCTGAAACATTAGTGCAAAACCTGCGCAGTTTCAGCCTCCAGCAAAGCTCGCCTTCCAAGTCTCACGCTGTGTACAACTAAGCACACCCCCAGGCCTGTGCTAGACTAATCCTTCAACACACACAGTTTTATTTTTCATATTTGCATGTATTTTTGAGACGAGGTCTCATCGTATAGACCTGGCTGGCCTGAAATTCTGAGGCCCCCCGATTCTGACGTGTGAATGCTGGGATTAAAGGCGCATCGCCACACCCTACACAACACACAGCTCTAACACAGGCCTATTTAACAAGTGGATTACTTGGAGCTAAAGGCTGCAGGAAATCAACCCCTCAAGGCATGCTGCTCAGCAGGGAACAAATTTTCCTTCCTAAAGTAAATTTACATTTGAAAAGGTCTCGTTCTTACCCTCCAGGAGGGCATTTACTTAAATCTACATAACAAATTTTTATTCACAGCCTGTATTTACCACACTTTCCCCGATCTCCTTCCTGATCTCCCCTGCACCTGCTACTCAGAAATGAAACCCTTCTTCTTTGGGTAGACTAACTTTCTGTATAAAGCCGTTCCCACCACCCTCCATGTGTCCATTACTAGTATTCGCAAATGCATGTGCATGTAGCCATGCTAATTTCACCTGCCTGTCTCTCACCTGCCTGCAGAACCTCAGCTGGAGAACCTGTGACAGAATTTTCCCCTCCTCTTCCCTACACCAGAAGATGCACCGTTCTGCTGCACCAGAGCCTGCCAGGCCCACGCCTGTATTCCTGTGCAACTGTCCTGTTACTGGGAAATGTCCTTCCTTCAGTTTGTAGTCACTAAAGCAGCAGTTCTAACCCTCCCTAATACTTACACATAGTTCCTCATGTTGCCGTGACTCCCAGCCATTAAGTTATTTTGCTGCTGCTTCATTAACTGTACTTTTGCTGTTGCAGATCGTAATGTGAATATCTGATAGGCTGCAACCCCTTGACCAAAGGGGTCACGACCCACAGGTTGAGAACCGCCACACCACAGTCTAGCTTTACCTCTTGCTGTAGGGAGCTATAAAAGTGAATGCAGTTACAATGGCTGCTAACGTGGTTTTTTAATCACCTGCTTGAGGCAGCCCGACGTGGAGCCCACTTTGCTTTTTGGTTTAAAGACCACAAAGGATAAGAATACCCTGCCCTAACAGCCTTAGTGAATAAGCAAAGTTTGCCAGTCTTGGGTAGCCTAAGGTTACTGAGTATTGTCAGAGGTAGATGAAACTAGCAGAGCCATCTTCAAACAAGACAGGCAGAAAGGGCAGGTGTCAACTGGTTTTGAAGGTCCCGAACAAGGGCCAGGTGAAGCACTGAATACCAGATGAACAAGACTGGTGTGACCAGGCTGGTGCAATGGTACACACTTGCAGTCCTAGCAGCCCAGAGGCGGACGCAGGTGGACTTCTGAGTTTGAGGTCAGCCTGGTCTACACAGTGTGTTAAGGGCTGGCCAGGGCCCTATCTCAAAAAGAATGGGAGTGGGGTGGGGAGAGAAACCTGGGTGATCCCGATGGTGAGTTACGAGCACTGCCTTTGCAGGAGACGGACAGCCTCGGTGTTTGTTTCCTGACTCAACTGCAATGACGTTCCTTCTGCATGTTCTTCCTGGAGCAACAGGAAGTTCTAACCACTTGACACAACCTAGGAAGAGCATTGTGTGGCTTCCAAGGCTTCCTGACAAACACGTATATGCAGCTGTCTCTTCAACCTCTGAGGGCTCACATGGGGGTCTGGTTTACTACATCAGAAGAACGAGATCATGAGATCACATGATCACGTGGAAAGCCCTGTGTAGGGGTTTCCTCCTAGCCAAGGAGCCTGCTAGGCCAGAACAAAACCCACCTGTGGAGGTTACAAAGACTTAATTGCTTGGCTCTGGCTGGATTCAAACCTACAGGTTGTTGTGGGTTCCCCTCACTGTAGCTTCTTTAATGCCTGACCATAGAAACAAAAATGTGCTTAAGCTGCTGTGGGCACCAGGCTACACAGCAGCCGGGGTCATCTGGTGTCCCTGCTCCCCACTGCTGAAGCGCTCCTCTGCCCCAGTTGCAGGTTCCCGGCCAGGTAATGAGCACGTACCCCATTCCACAACACTGTGTCCCTCCTCTCATGGAGGCCATCCTGCTCACTTCTCTTTCCCAGTTCCTAGAAGCACATCCGGCCACAGAACTGACTTGTCTGTCAGCACTTCCGGACAGAGCTTGGTGCAGTGGCTCAAGGCTGTAACCCCTAGGAAGGCTGCATGAGGGCTTCTGCACACTCCATCCTGGACTACCCAGACAGAGCTACAGAGTAAGACCCTGTCTCAGGGATAAAATAAATTGTTGCCGGGCACAATGTTTAACACCTATAACCCAAAACATGGAAGACTGAGACAATAGAGTACCAGGAGTTCAAAACCAGCCTGGGCTATAAACACCAAGCTACCACGCTCTGGCCAAGGCTTCCTTAAAAAATAAATAAATAAGTAAAAAACAACAAAACCAACCAACAAAAACAGGCATGGTAGTACACACCTGTAATCCTCACACTTCCTAACACCTCAGCAAGTAGACATCATGAACTACATAGTGAGAGTGAGGCTAGCCTGGGCTATAGAGATGAAACTATCTTAAATGAATTACAGAACAGCAGTGCTCACAGAAAACTCGGTGCGGGCCAGGGCAGAGATGAGAACGACCACAGGCTTGTGGCAGGGCACGGAGGGCCAGCAGGTGCTCCACGGAGAGAAGGCAAAGACACAGGTGCAGTCAAGCCACTGAGCTCAGGGACAGGAGCTTCCGGAGGTGCCCCCAAGCATTTCTGTCAACTCTGCTTCTGGCTGGGTCCCTGCACTCTCTTGCTTTAGTCTGCCTCGCCCCTCGATATAGTAGAACTTCTGACCTTTGATTTACAATTCCTATCCCACCTAAATGGAATGCAGGCTCGGGAGGCAGGTAATTTTAGTCCACCTGGGGCTGGTCTATTTCTGAGGCCAACAGTTAATTTCTACACCGCAGGTTTCTCTACTCCACAGGCCTCTCCTTCCTCTGAGAATATTCCACTGCAGGAAGAAAGAAAACTCAAATTAAATCCAATTGGTCCAAGGTGGATAATCACTAAGGGTTGTTTTCAAACCTGCCATAAACAGGACAGTGAAATGACAGGGCCCATTCAACATTTGTAGCTTTCCTGCAGAGAGAGGAAAAAAGGGGGAGAAGGGTTGGAGGGGGAAGGTGAAACAACATGAAAAAGCTTTAAAAAATTATCTCTAGAAGGACACTAAGAATTAAATTCCAGCTTTTCTCCTCAAGGCTTTTCACACATTAAACTTGATCAGAACTTCTTCCGAAGATGCTCAGAAGCTGGCAGTCATTGTTTGCTTGTGATTCTTCCTTTCTGAGGAGACTCCTCACATCTGCTCAGCCACCTGCCCCAGGCTCCCAGAGCATGCCCGCACTGTCAGGGAACCCAGGAAGCTGCAGTAACAGGCTACCAGGGCCCAGGCAGCCCCAGCACTCGGACGCATAATTAGTCTAGTTCTTATATGCACTCCACAGAGAAATGTGTCGTTACTGTTATTACCAGATAACAAAAGTGGAGCAAAGAGATTAAGGGACATTTCTGCATGTGACTCGATGGCGTCTGACTCCAGAGCCCACACTTCTGACTACTGATGTCACTCACTAATCAGGGCCTCAGTCTTGTCCTGCTTTGCCCTGATAATCCCTGCACGGATCAATCACACATCTCTCTGTGCCTCTCCGCTTCAAAGCCTTTTCATTAACTCCAAGCCTGAGAGTCTGGCTTCTCCCTTCCTGGCCAGGAGCCTGCTCAGTTCACAGGACAGAGGATGAGGTGCTGAGTCACACGGTTCACTGGTTTATTGAGATTCAGGGAGATCCCTCCCCAAGAGACAGCACAGTGTGAAAGGGACGCGGCCTCGCCCCATCAGTCCATCTGTCCACGCCCTCATCTGGTTAGGATGTGCACCCACTACCCACTGGAAACAGTCTCCAACCTGCCCCCGTTTCTTTCCCTTAGTTCTGAAAAAGAGTAACAATGAAAACGTAAGACACAGCTGTTTTGAGGGATGGTTGTGAGTACAGGCTGAGGGTGGTTCACATGAGAGCAGAGATTAGAGGGAACATGTGGGGGTAAGCAATGGCAAGGAGAGGGCATGGAGGACTCAGCAAACATGAACTGGGGGAACCTGCTAGCTACATGCATGCTGGGTGCACATGGCTCTGCTGGAAGAAGACATGTCGTCGGCTAGGCAGACAACCGTGATGCCAAGATTCACAAGGCTGAGCCAGGAAGAGTGCCACTGAAGCCAGTCCAGGCAACACACACACAATCACGTTAAGATGCAAAGAAAATAGACAGTGCACCGCGGCACATAAGTAAAACTTAAGACATGATGTGTGCACATGAGGAGACAACTTAGTGTGCTCAGCACATCATACACACCCAAGCACACCACAGCACACAGCCACAACCACAACACTCTCAGGTGAGGGTAGGTGAGAGCGCCAGGGGTGGCAGCACTCAGGAGAAAATGCCCTTGCACAGGACCACACCCAGCTGCCTCAGGAGAGGGGAGATGGGGTGTGTGTTGGGAATTAGGGGCACACAGAGCAAAGAGGCAAGGAGCATGTGGGCCTGGGTGAGAGTGAGTCCCCCGGAAGAAGCAGCATGTAAGGAGAAAACACTAGGATATGTGGAAGAACAAGGATAATGGAAGGAGAGCCCTGCTAGTGTGGGAAGAACACTGTGAGGAGACCCTGCTGCTGACATGGCAGGAGTTGCTGTAGCAGCGATACAAGACAGGCTCTGGAGAAAAACGTGGTGAGTCGCCCCTCCGGGGTCATGAGTGACTATAGCTTCAGGCAGGGCTCAAACTGAACTGTGAAGTACTGATACAAAATAACTGTATGAATGAGTTAAAACAGTCCGTTTCCCAAAGTACTGGAGAGCCAAACAACGCCAGGCGTACAGGGTGACATGTATTTATAAGAGGGGGTTGGAGCACGTTCTCCAGGTTGGAGGTAAGAGTCCTTGCCCTCGCCCCACCCTCTCCCCACACCCTTCCCTCCCCTACTGGCCTTATCCTTCTTGATGCTCCCTCACTTGTACAGCAAATGCACTCGACTCCCATCACAGCTCAGCCGGTCAGGGGGCTCCGAGGGGCCCCTGGGAAGGCCCCCGGAGGGGTCTGGGGGTGTTGGAGGGTGGCGCCGTGAGCGCAGCTGCTGCCGAGACTGGAGCTGATGGCGCAGTTCCGAGACCCGCTCCTCTTTCTGGAGGAAGGAACACAATTGGGAGTGTGGGAGAAGGGGGATGTAGAATAGGAGGGGAAAGGAAGGGAGACGTTGAAACGGGATATACAGGCAGGAGAAGAAATTGAAATGTGAAGCAAGAAAAGAACAAAGAAAGCCACAGAATGTAACAGCATCAAGAAAATAGGCAAATTTAAAAACATAAAATAAAAAAGAGAACAAATGATAGGAAGACTACATCAGGCAACTTGGAATGCCATTCCCACACCCCGGAACTGCATGGTCCCTAACCACAGCTTGGACACTGTGGGCAACTAGCTAATGGCTCACAACAGCCTCCCCCTAACTACTGCCAGTGGCTGCTCTTTTGCCTCAGGATGGCTGAACCTCCACGGCCTCCTTCCTCCCTCTCCTCGGGCTAACACTGAATTTTAGCTGAGACTGAAACCCAACCCTCCCCATCTGTCTCCTGCTCCTTGGCAGGTGGTGTGAGGCCCTCGGTAAAGCACCAGCACTTGAACCTGATACAGACAACCCACCACCCTTAGACACGGTTGTCGCCACACACCTCAGCAATGATCTTTTCCAATTCACGGTTTTCTTTCTCCAACAGCCGGGACTTCTCTTCCTCGTTGTTGTTGGTGGATGACCCCGTTTTCATGGTGTCCTGTGCTTCAGACTGCCACTCCCCCCGAGTGATCAACCTGCGCATCTGGGAACAAAGGTTGGGGCGTGGGGCGGCTGAGCAGGGGCTGTGCAAGGAGGCGGCTGGGCAAAGTGTTGAAGTAGGGAGCAATGAAAAACTGCAAGACAAGCTGGGACAAAGTGAGGGCAGAGTCGCCAGACCTCACCTTGGGCACAAAGAGCACAACCAGCGTAATGTAGGAAGAGAACACGATGGCCAGAGAGGCAAAGGCGAAGGCTGCGTCCTGCTGGCTGGAAAGAATCATGGTCACAGGAGCAGTGATGAGACACAGGACCTGAGAAGACAGCATTTAGGAGACTCAGATCTAGGCAGGATTTTCTTCCCCCAAGAGAACCAATAAAGACAGACAAGCTCAGGTTGATCCTCAACTTTAAGCAGCCAAAGTCAAGAACGTACTATCCGGCCAGTCCTCAGCTCCTAATCAACACTGCCCTCGGGGTCTCTGCATTCAGTCTTGAGAAGACCTCACTAGGTCATTGAAAAACGCTACGGTGTAGTATGCTGTTTTTAAAGCTTTTTTCCCTTATCTACATGTATTACATACGTGTGGAATACGTGTGTACACGTCTGTGAGCGCATGTGCATTTGAAAGCTAGAGGAAAACCTCAGCTGTCGCTCCTCTTCCCCTTTGGTTTCTCATACAAGGTCCCTCAGTGGCTGGAGGCAGTCACTGAGAACCAAGGATCTACTTATCTGCATCTCCTCAGCACTGGGATTACAGGCCAATGTCATTACACCCAGTTCTTCTGATGTGGCTTCTAAGGTTGTCTTGTAAGAATCAGAACCCATCACCCCCAAACCCCAAGTAGTGTGTTTTCTGAACTGCTGTGTAGTATATCCTCTGAATTCAAACATTCCTTTCCCAAAGAAAGAGGGAGACATGTAAAACTCAGTCAATTATTAGACTCAGGAGGCCCATCCCCAAAGTTATAAAAGCAGTAACCACTTCCAGGAAAGAGAATGCTCTCCTGTGGAACTGCCTGCAAGTTGGGCAGGGTGAGGGTTAGAGTTTGCTGTAGTGGACTTTTTAGAGTCCCTCCTGCAGTAACTCCAACAAATGTGTAGGCTCACCATGTGTGATGGTTAGCTTTGTCAATTTGACAGTCTAGATTCCAGATCCTAGAATTGCTCAGGTGATTGTCAATGAGGGATTGTCTAGATCATGTTGGCTTGGGTATGTGAGCATATTTTTTTTTTGGGGGGGGGGTATCTTAATTTCTATTTATTGTTAAGTGATGTGGAAGACTCAAATCACCATAGAGGGCACCAATCCATAGGCAAAGGATCTGGGACTGAGCAAGAGTAAGCATGCATGCATTTATTTCTTTTTGCTCTTAACTCGGGGTGACTAGTTACTCCAAGGTGCTGTGTTGACTTCCTCCAGTGATGGACTATCACCTGGAATTATGAGCTAAAATAACTTTCTCCCCAAAGTTGTTTCTTCTCAGGGTATTTTATCACAACAGAGATGAAAGTAGAACACCAAGTCAGACTTTGGTAGAATCAATTATTTCGTCTGTTGTGGTGCCCTATCTAGGGTGAATCAACATTTGTTCCTATCTCCTCAGGAAAGTCATAAACAATGACTTTATAAATCAGAAAGTAATCGATGTTTTAACTTCTACAGAAATGATCTCAGATCTGATTTTCTGATTCTTTTAATCCTACCACCATAACAGTGCTACGGTCTGTCTCCAGGACCAACCTAGGTGTCAGGGAGCTTACCGCAACATTGTAGATGGCCATACCCACAGCCCTGTGGTCGTTGATCTTTTCAGTGGACACGCTTTTAGTCTCATAGGCAAGAAAGATTCCCAGCAGCAGCAGCAGCCCCTTGTAACCATAGAAAATGCCTAGGATAGCAGGAAAGGGTCACCTGGGCAACAAGGACCATCACACTCCCAACTCAATCCTCTCCCTCTCTTTGCCCTTCCCTTACTGGCGCTCTGCGTTGCTCCTCTGTGTCACTCTGTGTCGGGAAAGCCCTCCTCTCCATTCCAGACCCCGACACAGCAAATTCTCAGTGTGGCCCTATCCACCTGACACATCTGTCCTATACCGCTCCTCAGCTTCCTACGGAGCATGGGAATATCCAACCCTTTCCCTCCAGGCAGGATCACTAAGTCCAGGCTAAAAGTCTTAGTTCACCTTGTGGGTTTATAGATTCGAGGAATGTTAGTCAGGCTGATGGGAGGCTAAGCCCATGACCGGACAACCTTGATGACTTACTCCCAGGAGCTGATGGCCACAAATGATGGGTCACCCACCCACACTGGCTCTCTGCTGAACAACACTACTCACAGCAAAAGCTCTCCTTTTCTTGGAAAAGTTTAGCATAGTGACAAGGGTACTGAAATTGTCTCCTCTGAATGGTCGTCTCCTCTGGCCTGCTGCTCTTACCCATTCCTCCTGCTTACACTCCCCCACCCTAGCCCCGCCTCCTTCCACCTACATCCTACCCACCAAGCCATGTATTCATCTTCTTGGAGCTGCAGTGCTCCAGCTGGGGCAGGATGGAGACATCAATGTCTTCCTTTGGCTCCTCCTTGGCAAAAGTCTGAGGGAGAAAAGGGACAGGATGAGTGGCTGTTATCTTCTCCAGCTCCGATGAGGGTCAGTACTGTGCTGGATTCTGCTCCAGGCTGGTGTCATTCCCCTACATACACTAGAAGGGCTTGTTCCCCACTTTCCCTGATACTTGGAAAACCTACACATCCTCCCAGACCCCGGACTTCCCTTCTTTAGATAACCTAGCAGCTTCTGACAGGGCTCCACCTTGGAAAGACAGAAGTGCCCCTAATCCACATAAGACTGAGAAGTTCTCCCCTAAGTAGCTTCCTTTTCTTTCGAAAGGCAAGGTCTCACTATGTAGTCCTGGCTGGCCTGGAACTCACCATGTAGCCCAACCTAGCCTCAACTCAGAGACCTGTCAGCCTCTGCCTCTTGAGTTTTATGATTGAAGGCATACTGGAATTAAAGGTATGTGACACCACACCCAGCCTTCCTTCAAGACCACACATAGTCCTGGAGATGCCAAGCTGATTAGCCCTGCCCAGCTTCCAGCAACTCCTCTCAAGTGATGAGATACCTCAATGGTTCGGTGCAAGGGGTCCACAATCTGCCAGATGGCAAGAGTCAGGACATCCATCCCCACCAGCAAGCCTACAGTGGCATACAGTTTCCAAGGCTCTAGGGTCTGAGCAGATAGCCAGAGAAGACAGGTCAGAAAGAGGTCTTCTCTGTGCCCAGGATCAAAGGCTAGGTCTGAGAAGTAGCTCACCTTCCTCCATTCCTTCTTCTCCTCCTTCTTTGTGAAGACTGTGTGGACCCACCAGATCTTGGTGAACATAGAGCCATAACCCAGACTAAAGCCCAAGCCCAAGAGCCAAAGTCGGGCCTAGAAGGGGAGAAAGGACACTGGAACTAGGTGGGACTGAGGCCATGGTGGCTGGAACTGTAGGAGGCAATAGGAATAATGACCAGATAACAACACACAGGCAGGCATAGGAGGAGTACGGAAGGGAAGAGCAGGACTCTGCATTCATCCATTCCTTCCATCTGTCTCTACTACTGCCACAGCACCAGGCTATTCTTGCCAAAGCCTACCGATCTAATCTAGCACCTACCTGCACACGGCTGAATGTGACACAGCATGGAGCACCCACTAGCCTGGCCTATCTCTCGGGCCCTCACTGACTGTGCACCCCCGCCCCCAATCTCCCTTACCTACTCCCTTTCAGCTCTCATCCTTCAGTGAGCAAACACCACCTTGTTCCTGAGGCCCACACAAACATGGACTGACGCTGCTTCCCTTCTGTGTCCACAGCCCTTTCCACAGCTCCCGCCTTAGGTGTATCTCCTGTCAGACTGCAGCTAGCTGTCTATCTCTCCTGCTGCATGCCGATCCCACTAGGAATAGACACTTCTTGATGATGTGAGTTCATCACATCATCTGTGTGTGCACATGTTGTGTGGATAATGCATGATCAGGACAGAAACACAGTGGAGGAAAGAGAGAGTGCCAGCGGGAAGAACCAGGGAAAGAGTGGATGCTTCTCATAGTAGAGAAACATTCAAAAGTTTGAAACCAGCCTTTCCTTAAAGTCCCAGAAATTCCATCAGCTAGGTCCCAAAGGCCCTCCTCCCTCTGTGACAGTTTGTGCCTTGTCCCAACTCTATCTGCTTAGATTCTGCCTTTCAGAGTTTTTCTTTCAAACTCCAACCAAGGTTCCCACGGGAAAGCCCACAGTTTTGTTTCTCAGCCCACAATCCACAGACAAGCTGCCATTGTTCACAGGTTCTGTACGCAGACCCTTCCTTTGTCTTCAGTACTTCACCCTCTTCTCTGCAAGGCATGCCCAGCAACCTTGCAAACAGCCAGAGAACTGCAGAATGGAATAGATCTGGCACCCAGAAAGAAGGGACAGAGCCAAAGAGAGAGCAGAAGGGTGATGCAAGGAGGCAGGAAAGGAGACACTAGTCAGAGAAAGAGGAGAGACAGGGAGGGTACTCCTCAGAGGGCTAAGAAAGCCATATTCTGCAAAGTCTACATTGGACCACCATCTACTTACCTGGCAGACAAATGGGAACTGGCTTTCCCCTATGTGGTAACCATCCAGCCCAAGGGGAAAGACAGCAGCTAGTGCCAGTGAGCAGCCCACGGCAGTCAGATTGTTCAGGTTGGGCTGAGAGTTCTGGATATAACTAGGGCAGAGGCGGAGAGGGTGGGAGAAAGAGCAGAATTACCCCATCTCCTCCAGAGAGGCTTGGCTCTCCAAAAATGCTATCAACAGCACGACCCTATCCCCAGGACTGATAAAGGAGACAAGCTGGGGACAGGCAGAAAGAACACTCAGGATAAGAACACTGGTGGGCCATGGGGTTGGACCTAGGGGAGCAACAGAGCTTCTGCAACACAAGGCCCTGCTGGCGTGTTCTGTTTCTCTAGATGACTGCTCTGAAGGGTGGGGACCATGCCTGGTTTCCCCTTGTTTTGGTGAGTCATCATGCCATTCTCTATGACACAAAGTCTTCAGGGAGTATGGTGGGTATTTGAAGAAGCAGCCGGGCCAAGGTTCAAGTCAGAAGAGAAACTTACCGAACGTGGGAGTTGTAGATGTTAAAGGACAGACAGACAACAGCAAGAACAATGCCCAGGCTGGAGAGAACTGAGACGGAGATAAAGAGTTTCTGTGACAGGAAACGGAATGTCTTGATGACCAAGGTCTGGTCAGCTGGAGGAGACCCCCCTGCATGGCACAGGGGAGGAGGGGAGAGAAAAGGGAGAGAGGACAGTGGCATAAAGGCAGGATAGGAGAAAGAGAAAAACAAGCTGCTGAGGGATATCAGTGTGGGCTGAAGACACGAGGCCCTCAAAGCACTGAGCAGCTATGGTGGACAGAAGGCTGGAAGACACTGGGGACCTTGAGAAACAACCAGAAAATAAGAAGATGGCATCTGTGCTGTAGCATCTCATTCTTTGACTGCTGTTCCTTTTGGGATTTTTAAATTTTGGGTTTTTTTTTTTTTTTTTGTCTTTTGAGATGGGTTTCTTGGTGTAGCCTTAGCTGTCTTGGAACTCAATTTGCCTGGACAAGCTGGCCTCGAACTCAGAGATCTGCCTCTGCCTCCCAAGTGCTGAGATTAAAGGCGTGTACATGCAGCTTTTAGTGGTTTTTTTGTTTGTTTGTTTGTTTCTCTGTTTTACAGCAAAGGAAAAGGGAGATGAAAGAAGGGAACAGCTGAACCAGCCCAATATAGGGTTCTCTGTCACCCCATTAAAAGGTATAAAAGACAACTACAGAAGCAGAAAGTCAGAAGAGTCTCAACGAGGTTTTCCAGTTACTATTAAGACGAAGCTCAAATTTGTTCGGGGTGGAGGGGACAGACACAAAACACCTACTTAGTTTCAATTTGCTTAGCTTTAAAAAAAATTAAAAAGCCAATTTAGGCCATGAACATTTATAACTACATAGAACACTGCCCTAATTCAAGCTACAAAAATAAATACATAATAAAAAAATGAAGCAAAGCCTAGGCATATTAGCTCACACAGTAATGGAAGCAACGCTTGGAAGGCTGAGACAAGACTGAAACAACTTTGCAGTCAGTTTAGTCTACAAAATAAGTCTGTCTCAAAATAATAATAAAATAAAAAGGGTGTTGGGGAGAAGGCTCAGCAGTTAAGAGCACTCTGCTCTTCCAGAGGACCTGGGCTCAATTCCCAGCAGCCACATGATAGGTCACAACCAGCTGTAATTCCAGTTCTAGGGACCCTGGTGTCCACTTCTGGCCTCAAAGGGCAGCAAGCACACACACATATATGCAGGCAAAACACCTATTGACGCATAAAAGTTAATTAAATTTAATAAAGCTGGGCTAGAAGGACAGCTCAGTGGGTAAAAGCAATTGTTATGTAAACCTGGCAATATTCAGTTCAAACTGCAGAGCCGGGTAAAGATGGAAGGAGACCGACCTCACAACGTTGTCTTCTAACCTCTACAAGAACACCATGGCACACAAGCCACACACATGCATGTACACACACACACATACCACATGCTGGGAACGAGACTTCACTGGACAAAGCTGCCTTCAGTGGCCTTTCCATCCTTCCTCACCAGTAGGAACTTTCCTTTTTGCCTACTTCCAGTATCTTCCCATTTCTTATCATTTAACACAACAAAAATAACTGCTTTCTTTCCCTCTTTAAAAAGTGAGTGATAGGGGCTGGAGAGGTGGCTTGGTGGTTAAGAACACTAACTGCTCTTCCAGAGGACTCAGGTTCAATTCCCAGAACCTACACAGCAGCTCATAGCTGTCTGTAACTCCAGAATTCAACACCCTCACACAGACATTCATGCAGACAAAATACCACTACACATTTAAAAATAAAGGCTTGATAGGCCAGGTGTGCCTGCCTTCACGTTTAACACTGAGTTGGAAGCCAGCCCAGTCTATATAGCAAACTCCAGGACAGCCAGAGCTACATAATGAGACACTCAACAAACAAACAAACAAACCCTAAAGAAAAAAGAAACCTGAAAGGTGAGCCTAGCACAGTGGAATACACCTGAAATCCCAACACTTGAGACAGTAAGATCACTCTGAGTTCAAGATGAGTCTGGGCTGCATAAGGAGTTCAAGTCCAGCCTAAGCTATAGGATGAAGCCCTGGCTCAAAAATGAGGGGGGTAGGAGGGAGTAAAAACCAGAAACAAAAACTGGTGAAATGGCTCGGGGCATAAAGGTTCCTGCTACCAAGGCTGATGATCTGAGTTCAATTCCCAGGACCTACATGGTGCTGGGAGCGGTCTCCCATGAGCTGTTCTCTGATTTCCACATGAACACAAATGAATATATAAAATATGAGGGGAAAATAACAAAACAAAAACAATGCACAAAATAACCAATAAGAACAACATGAGATTTTTTTTTCTCTCCTACAGTTAAGCAGCTGTTTTCCTGATAGGGAACAGAGGTCCCCGGTTCTAACACATCAAGGCTGGAGGAAAGCTTCCACTTCTCAGAACCTCTGTGTTGCTTGTAATTTCCGCTGCAGCAGAGCATCACACCAGCCTCACACCAGCCTCACACCAGCTCCCCTCTCCTTTCTTGGAGGCTATGTTCACTTCCAATCCCTGCCCCAACCCCTGTGCCATTTCAACCCTCCCTCATTCAAATGTCTGACAACAATCATTCAGAAGCAACAAAGGAGAACTTACCAATCCACTTATCTGTTTTGGTCCAGGAGAGAACATCCTTGGTGCTGTCGTAGTAGCCAATCTTCTTGTAGCTGCCGCCTGGGCAAGGACAGGTGTTACCATGGGTAGGAAGAAGCCACCCTGGGCCTTTTCAAGCTTCTAATTCCCTCAGAGCTGTTCCCCGTGGTTGCATAATGCCACTGACCTAAGCAACTCAAGGGTGCTGTAAGAAGCCAAGTGGCCTGGCCGGGCAGCCTAGCCTCACAGCAGTACAAGGTGGTTCCCAGGGCAATCTGAATAAGTAATATAACCCTTAATAAGGCTCTTCACAGAGGAAGATGCCTTGGTACATCAACCACCTATTCTACAGCCTCACACCTCTCCCAGCAACACGTCTCTCACTTTGAACAAAGCTTTGAACAATTTCCGCCTGTTCTCCCTCTTGTGATAGACAGAACTGCAGATCCCCCCTCCCGCCCACCACCAGTGGCTTTAATTTTAGAAAGCTCTCTCCCTTTGGCTTGGGTTCTAATTCCTTGGATAAGATGCATCTCGAAGTGCCACGAAGCAAAATGCAATCACTCCTAAGAGTTCTCCTCCAGCATGGCCACACTTAATACAACTTTCTTCCAAACACCTACTCACACCCACCTCACCCTGGCTGAGGTCCAGTCTCACTTGTCCCATATACAAAGACAGCTGAGAGGATTTGGTGGCAGAGGTGGAGGGAGAAAGAAATTTTTCACAGGAAGCTAGGAAATAGGTCTCTTGGCCACAGCACAAGAGGCTGAGTCAGGTGGAGCTGAAAGATTACCTCACAGAAGCTCTGTGGACTCCTCAGCACTAAGTTACAGAGAAATGCTATCTGGAAAAAGCCAGCTATATGTATGACTAGAACACTGTTCTCACACAGCAAGAAACTGAGTGGATTCCTTTCCAAAGGAACCAGCTTCCTAGGCCCAACTTTCCATGATCTTTCAGGACACACTAACAGCTCTTAACCCCCCAGTCCAGCCTCAGGCAGGCAACTTCAACTAAAACCGAAGCCACTGGGGAAAAAGAACAGCTCTTTTTAACCTGCATGCCTCTCTGAAAGAACAGACTAACTGCAAAAGACCTATCCATGCCTGTTCTTTTTATCATTATTTAAAGCCCAACGAACACAGCACAAGGTAGGCAAAAGGTACCAGGCAGTCTTGTTGAGACTCATCATTGTTCTCCTTCCAAAGGAGCACTCAGCCCAGGCCCCTGCCTGCCCCTTTCCCAGCCTCCCAGGCCTGGGCTCACCCTGTAACTGCTCGATAAGTGTCCATGCCATTCGGGAGCCGCTGGCATCAAAGACCACATGGCCCTGAGGAGAAAGGGAAGGCAGAAGGGATAAAAGCAGGAGAAAAAGAGAACATCAGGGACTCCAAACCCTTCTGTTTTTGATGTAATTGAGCTTCTGAATGAAAAGCTATTTGTGGCATCTGCAGCATGTAGGACACACCCCAGATGCACATACCCTAGATTCTGGAAACTGTTCTTCTGAGATGAAGCCTCACCCCTGAGATCTGAAGGAGAGAGTTCCCAGAGAGACGGCTACGAACAACCACCAAACCCTATTAGGCACTAATTTTCTTACTTTAAAAGGAATGGGATTAACTCTCAAGTTGTTATCTCTTTCAAAAACCCTTCAGTTCTCACCTGACCCATAAACACCTGGTCCAGTTTGAAAAACACACAGCAATTCTTTTCATTGCCATCTTTTGTGTGGTTTTGTGGTTTGGGAATTCCTCGTCCCCTAGTCTAAGACTGACTTTTACAGAAAAGTAACTGAGAAAGCAGGAGAATGCATGTATCTAGAGGTCCTCCAAGAGTGTCTGTCCCTTCCCATGGGGTGCACAAGAAAAGCTCCTGTAACTCACAGAAACACCCTCAAAGGAGGAGGAGTTCATGGCCCGGTAGATTTGGTCTGTAATGGTCTGGTTGTTGTAGTTAAAGTCCTCCAGGCGCACACCCGAGCGGCCACCTCCTCCAGAGGTCTTGTTCAAGGCCAGAGCCAAGGCCCAGATAGCATCATAGGCCAGTGGTGCCTCCTGGAAGCCTCCAGTTTCCTCGGGGTGTCTCTTCAGCCTCTTGGTTAGTTTCTCCACAAATTCCTGGGATGTCTGGGCAAAGGGAGAACAAGAGGAAAGCATTGAAATGTGTGTGGGCGCAGGGGAAGAGGCCTCAGTTCTGGCTCAGACACTGTGACTTGAGCGGATGGTTTGTGTTCATATTGTCGGGTAGACCATATGTACAGACAAAATCGTTAGCTATACCCATGTGTCTATCTTGGGTTGGAAGCTACAAAACTAAACGGGGATTAGCTGAGTCCAATGGTCTTAAGAGTGTACAGCTGCTAGCTCAGAGCTACAAACAACAGAGAAATCTGATGAATAAACACTCTGGAAAATGAATGGCAAAGGAGAGAAGCAGAGACAGAGCCAAGGAAGAGATGGATTTCGAAATGAAGAGTGGCAGCGCTGGTGTTTTCCCAACCTTCAGACATTCACAGCAGAGTTGACCCAAAGCTAACACCTCCTCCAATTTTAAAGATCCAGAAAAGGCGACACCACAGCCTTTTGCACTCTGCCTGCCAACCAAGGGGATTGTTCTTTAGGGTGCTAACTTCTTGCTATCCTTGTATGACTTCCGTTTGCTGCCTCCTTGCAGTGGTGACAGCCATGGAAAACACACCTCACGATGTAGAGGTCTGTACCCTGTCCCACTCAGACCCCTCTTAGCACTCAACAATGTCGATCCCTGTAAGTCTCACGGATGAAGAGACCTGACCGTACATCTCACATGCATGGCTTTCTACTTGTGGGTGAATGAATTGCTGAACCTCTCAGAACTTCCTTCCACATAACATCACACCTTCCCTTCCTTACCATCAGAAGCACATAGGAAAACATTTAACTTTTTCTCTGCAAAACACGTGTTCACACAATCACTACACAGATAACTGTTTGGATTTAGAACATTCACAAGCCATTTTAGTGCAGGAGTGATACATGCATGAAGAACCTTGTTCCTGGCCAGTGAGATGACTCAGCACACATAAGCACCCACTGCCAAGCCTGAGCTGGGTCTCTGTAACACAGAGTAGAGGGAGAGAGCCAACACCCAAAAGTTAACCTCTGCGCATCTTGTGGCACACATACACAAAAATAAATGGATAAAATGTAATTTTAAAAAAATTTAACCTTGTTCCCAAGTCGTCAACACATCCTCTTTTCTGTTCAGTTTTCTAGAAACAGCCTGGGCCTTGAAATTACCCAAGGACAGGAACGAGCACTGTGCACAGCTCAAGTGGACACACTCTAATGACACTGTAAAGGTAGACACTTGTCACCTATCCCACACAATACAAGCACCAACAGCCCTAATGTAAGCCACGGGCTTTCGGTGACAATGGCCTGTTTGGAGACCATCGACCGCCACAAATGCTCTCATGTGGTGGTGGAATCTGATAATGGAGAGGTCATACAAATGGAAAGGTTACATATGGGAAGCACAGGAACGCTCATCTTCTGTTCAATTTTACCGTGAATCTAAAACAATAACAGCTTTAAATAAAAAGAAAGTCCATTGGATGGGTAAGTAGATGAATGGGTTCTAATTCTAATTAAACCACTTACCTACTAAGAAATCTCAAGCAAGTTATTAAATCTCACTAAACCGGCTGTTCAGCCTTAAAATGGGAATAATATTGTGTTAAAGAGCTCCTGTAAGGATTCAGAAAGAACACATAAAATGCTGGGTATGAGTACATTACACTTTCTCTCTGTGAGTTTCCCTGGTTGCACCCTCGTCTTTGTTCCCAATGCGCAGGCCTGTAATTCTAGCCCGACCTTCCATCTTATAGGTCCCATTTACACTAACACATTGTAGCTATATATGACCACTGCTCTCGAGTTCAAAAAAAGAACAGTGGCGGCACCTGTAGTCCAAGCTGCTTATGATGCTAATGCGCAGGGAGTGGGGATGTGAGTCTGCGTCTGTCGAAGGCCAACCTGGGCAACACAGCAAGACCCGCTGGGAGAGACAGGGGAGGGAGGTGCACAATGGTGTATACCCTCAAACTCAGGAGGCAGACAGAACAGTAGGATTGCAAGTTCGGGGCGATTCTGGCGTGCATAGAGAAGTTCAAGGATAACCAGATCTACACAGTAAGTAAGGCTAATCTCAAAACAAACACACAAAAAAGGCAGGTGGGATGGAGAGATGGTTCAATGGTCAAGCAGAAGACCCATGTAACTCCAGCTCCAGTGGATCTGACGCCTTTCACCTCCACTGGCATCTCCATACACACACTCAAACATGCTTAAAAAAACCTCAAAGATGGAAAAAAATACAAAACATAGCTCACTTTTCCCTCATACTACCACACTATTCAATTCATAAGAGTGAAAGTAAATTGCATATTTTCAAATCAGCAAATCTTCGTAAGCTCTTCGTTCTAATGTTCCATTTAACACCATCCCGCTCTATACAGGAGGAGGAAAAGGAGGCTGATGACGGTGGTGGTGAAGATGGTGATGGTGACAGCTAACAATTAGACTGTCCTTGCTTTGTGCCGGGCGCATAATCATCGTATTTAACCCACAAACACTTCAATGAATGCACTTTATTATTATCTCTATTTTAGACGTGAGAAAACACAGACACAGAGCCCTGTGGCTGCCTTGAGTGGCGATGCTGGCGTTCCAGACCGGGGTGTCTGGCACAACCGTGTGCTCACTGTGTGCTGCTTCTGTAGTGAAAGCACTTGAGGGACAACTGCCCACAGACAGCAGCGAGCTAACACGTCCGAGCAGCAAGTCCTTCAGCTTTCTGATCTGGCCAATCCCCGGTTCAAAGTAAAGATTACATCAGAGAATCACCATATTGGGAAGGGATTAGTCTGCTCAGCATGACATTACTCCAGATCCTCAGTTCACGCAGGACAGCTAGCCAGCCAAGAAGAGCACCACGGAAAATCATGAAAACCGATCTTTCCTTTGAGTCAAAGATTATTGTTTACTTCTCGTTGCCGGGGCTGAACTGTGCATTGTGGGATATTTAGGAGCGCCCCTGTTCTCACAGTCCAGACATTGCAACCTCTGTTGAAAACCACCAAGACCAGATCAGCAGCATCAGAAACTCCAGGAATTTGCAGAAATGAAACCCTCAGGTCCTACCTCTGACCTGGGGAACCCCAGGGACTGGGTTCAGTAGCCTATGTACTAACCTAATTTTCCTGGTGGCCCTGATGGAAGTTTGGGAACTGATCCAAACACACCTGAGGCCATACCTACGGGATAAAAGCAACTCTGCTATTCCTCTAGATCTCATGGTTCTGTCCACTCCACCCTTCAGTCCAACTCCTGCCCTGATGCACTTCTTTTGGTGCTATTTGACTCACCTACAATCTTCGATAATCACTTGAAAAGGCTGCTTCCCTCCTCTATTGAAAGATCTAGGCTTTTCCACCTGACATTTCCAGCTTGGGTCTCAAGAAAGGCCTGTGTGCCTTTAAAGGGTTTTAAAGATACTTTAAAGGTACCTTTTTAAAGGTACTTTCTCTGAAAACCAAAAGCCAGAAAAGGCATCCTACCTGAAGGCCCAACTATCAACCAACACCCTCACCCAACTCTAAGGTCTCTGTAGTTCCTTCTCTCTCCCCAGGGTGAAGACAGAGCCCTTGAGTGGCAGGTCTGGACTTAGGACACTAGTAAGCCTTTCTGACTTTGGTGACCTATTCCACTACCCTGGGTTCTGGAACATGACTATGCTTCTTGTCCTGTGCAGGGAAGTGTTTGTCCAGTGTTTCATCACTGTCGTTTTTTATTGAGGTAAATTAAGCATAGAGCACTCCAGAACACAGTTATAACCAGAATCCATGTGGCAGCCCACTTATAATCACAACTTCCTGCCAGAAGCAGATTCCTGAATCTTATTTCTCCTTTGATAAGACACTATCACTACTTGAACAGTGTTTGCACATCAAGGTGTGAAGGTGTTGGTCAGGCTTTGTGCTTTTCCATGGTGAGTAATGAGGCAGGGCAGGCCGGAGTCCAACTCAACACGGCACCAGGAGCTGCACGGCCCAGGACAAGTTACTGCTAAGCCTCCCTGGCTCCAATTTTCTAGCTGTAAATAACAGCTCTGTTTTAGAGTACTGCTGTTAGGATCCTGAAATTATGCAGCAAAAACCCCGATTTTCCTCACAAAATTGTTAAAGGCATCTTTAGTTCACCTCTCTGAAAACAGGTATTTTACAGCTGGACTTACACCAGCTGACCCTGCTGAGCTATGGAGATTCTGTACTATGGGGTGTGGTGCTGAACATTCAGGGTTCCTAGCCACATGCCAACACCCACTCTCATTCATGGCCCCCCACACAGGGCTACCCTGGTCCCCTCAAATCAAGACAGTGACAGTGTGTCTTCAAAGTGCCCTATCACTAGAAAACTATCTGGGGCTAAAGCATTTCTGATATTTCGTGCACATCCAAAATTCCTTTAAAAAAAAAAAGAGTGAGGGAAAATTATTAAAAACTAATTTCACATCAATAAAAAGTGAGTATTCAAACTAGGTATGCTAGCACACGCCTTTAATCCCAGCACTAGGGAGACAGAGGCAGAAGGATCTCTATGAGTTTGAGGCCAACCTGATCTACATGGTGGGTTCCAGATATCCAGAGGTACACAGGAAAACTGTCTCCAAAAAAACAAGAAAGTGAATATTAAGCAACCATCTGAGGCACTTACATAAGTCACACACACACATACAAATAATAATAATAATAATAATAATGATAATAATAATAAATAAAAACACATCTGTGCCCTAGAGAAACTCCCTGGAAAAGGTGTGCTTGTGTGTACAAGCCTCTACATTACCATTAACACCACTCCCTCACTTGACTTCTCACCAGCTGCTCCTTGTTTCCATGGTAACAGCCCTTCCACTCATCAGAGCTTACTGTACATTCCACGATTTTTCTCTCTCGCCCAAGGAAATCACAGAACAGGTAGAACCCACAAAACATGACGCAAACAAGCACAAAATAGGCACCAGCCCCTTCGTGCCACCTGACTCCACTGCTATCCTCACTTCCCTTCCTCTCCCTTCAGTGTTCCCACAGGCCCTTCCACCCCAGTGCCGGGTTCCAGGTCCCCACCCTCACCATGTTGGAAATGCTTCGGGTGTTGGCAGGGTTCAGCATGACGATCTCCGTGGTGATATGGCCTTCCACCGCCTCGGTCATTTCATCTACTGTACAGTTGATTGATGGGTCATAGGTCTTGAACCAGTTGTCAGCATACCACCCAATGAGGAACCAGACATACTTCTTCCCAAAGAGCCGTTCCTTATAGACCTGCATTCAAAGATGGGAGGGGAGCATTTGAGATTTGAAACCCACTATTTTGTATGTTAACCTAAAAATTTAATAATATGTTTTTAAAATCTTCAGTTCACAGGGAAGGCAACAAAGATGCCTCCTTCACCCACTCACAAAAGATGGGGTTAAAACACAAAAGAGTAAATGAGAAAGTGTATGTGCTCGAGCGTAGACAAGTGATGGGGTCAGAGTCTACAGACACCTCAGGTCTTTTGCTGTCAGTCTGAGCAGAGATGCAGAGAGGAGGACCCAAGAGAAAACCACAGGAGACACCCATCCAGCCCCTCCCTGCTCCAGGTTCCATCTCCACCTCACAAAAAACTTTCCGGGCTTCAGTCTCATAGAAAAGTCCCACGATGATTCGAGCATCCTGACGCTGTAAAACAGAAGCAGAGACAGAGCGCCTGGGGGGTTAAGCCACTGCTTTCCCAGCTCCAAGTGCTTAGCACGAAGAAATGTTCAATGGGCAGTGGAGAAATGGCAACTGGAAGAAGGACCTAAACCTTCCCGGGAGGATGAACAGCTGCCTCTTCCAGGCTCCCCTCTCCAGCCGACCACCTCCCACGCCGACCACCTCCCACGCCGACCCCATGGCAGGTGGAGCCCACCATCCCGGCTCACCCACCTTCAGGTTTTTAACAGGCACGGCTGGATCTGAGAAGAAACTCTGTCGGAACGTGATCTCAATTCCAGCCTCCTTCACTCGCTCCTCTAGGTCATCCAGTGTCTTAGGTGCGAAGGAGAAACATGGTGGTACACACAGGGTAAGGCAGAGCCTCAGTGAGGGCTGATGAACCCCATGAGGGAAGGGTGAAAAGGAGCACCCCCTGCTTAAGAGGCAGCTTCCAAGATGCATAATGAGGCCCTCCTCAGGGTCTATCTCCAAGGACACTGCCCCACCAACCCCATTCCTAACCCTGAGGAAAAAAACAAACAAAAACAAAACAAACAACAACAACAAAGAGAACCAAAGCAGGAATGGACAGAATGTTGCCAGCTCAGGAGGCAAGTGGGCAGTCAGACAAAAGGATCACAGGAAAATGGACTGAGTCACTGAGAAGGAAGGAAGGATTAAAGGGCCACTGAACACAATGAGTTCATAGAAGACCCAAAGAATAAGCCAAAGAGAAGAATCAGGCTATTTTCTTCAACTGTGGAGCCCTGCCATTTCCTCTCTACCTCTGCAAACCTCCCCATCTCTCTTTAAACTGTCGGTCAGCCTCTCTGTGTGTCAACTACCAAATGCACTCCGTCATTTGTCTATCTGTCTGCCTGGGGCGTCTTCTTTCCTACCCCATCCAGCCACTCCACATTCCGCGGCCAATTCCTCCGCACCCCTGAAGGCACTGGGACCCACTACATCTCATTCAGAGTCCTATCTGCCTGAGGAACAAAGCAAAACATTGGAGAGGATTCCAAAAATCCAACTCCTATGCTCCCCAGGCTACAGCAAGAACAAGCACTTCGCCCACTTGGAATGTGTTCTCTTTTGATAAACCATCAAGGTCTCCCCCAGTAGAGCCACCGCCCCTGGGACCTCGTGTCCCATCCCGTCGGGACTCACTGAAGTGAAGACCTCTGTGGTCTGCTGAATGGTGGCAATCTTCTTCCAGCCCCACTTTTCAAAGAGTTTCACCCGGGTGGGATTGTGGAGTGTGGCAGACGGATGTGTTCGGAAGAATGTTGGAAAACGCTGTCGGTTTGACAAAGCTGGTGAGCTGGAGCCATATGAGAGCTGAGGCAGAAGGATCGGAGGTGTCCATGAAAAAAAGAACTAAAGATGCTAGTCTTTAGCTCTTTCTTGGTCCTAACTTTCCTCCCAACTCTCCAAACTTCCCCAGCTTTGTCCTAAGAAAAGTGATTTTCAAGAGCAAAACCACACACACACACACACACACACACACACACACACACACACACACCAGTCCTCATCAATGGATCCCCACAGCTCCTTCAGGCAATGCTACCAGAAAGCCAACCAGCCCAGGTTCCCCATAAGCTGAGTCCTGGCAGTGGCCCCGCTCTCTCGTCCTCTTAAACATTAAACCTCTCTACTTAGAATAGCTCAAAGGAAGATGGCCCGACCCCACCCCACCCCCGCAGCGCATGCCTTTCATACCACGATTAGGTTCCACATCCGGGCAGCCTCAGCCACGAGTGTGGAGACAGAGCTGCAGCCAGGCATGAGGATAATCTTGATGGGGTCATTGTAGAGTAGTTCATACAAGTACTTGGTGGCCTGCCCTGGGTCACACTGAGGGAAGAAGGAAATGAAGGCTTGCCCCACACTCCCCCACCCCCATACACACATCGAGCAATGCCTGGTGTCCTAGACAGCCTTCCTCAATCACTCACATCCATCATTATCACCACATTCTTCTTCCTAAGCATCTCCTCCTGTCAAGTTTCCAGTTTCTCCTCTTTCATTAAGCCCCTTCTCTTGTCTTCCACCTTAACCATATCCACTGCTGTATGTCCCTCCTTCCATATCAATGCATACTCTACCCTCTCCCATTTCTGCTCATTCTCAGTCATTCCTAAGCCCACTCTCTTCGGTCTTCTCTGGCCCCCCGACCCCATCCCATGTTTATAGGCTCTGATCATCTGCCTAGAAAAGTCTGCAGGAACACAAACAAATTCTCTCCAGATCCCCAGACAGCTTCCTCAATGAAATTTCCACCTTCATTTTGAGAAAACAAGAAGATCAGTAGGAGGTCTGCTCAGCACCCTATCCTTTCCTGCTGGGTCCTGACATTTGACAAGTCCATTAGGGAAAAAAAGGGGGGAGGCGGTGAGGAAGAATCTAAAATGAGGACGATAAGAGAAAATACATAGAATGGAACTCTCCACAAACCAGATAATATATACTTGAAAGAAACGCAATGGGAAAGAAAGCTAGAGACGAAAAGAAAGGTAGGAGGGAAAATTGGGGGAGGAAAAGCCAGCCGTGGGTCCCCCACTGTCTGTTCCCCTCCCGCTGAAGCCTGACATTTCAGAAGCTGCTGGAGCCCCCAAAAAAGAAGTGGAGAAGAAATGACTGCCAGTGGGGGGTCAGAGCAGAGGGGATGGAGACAGGAGGCACAGGAGTCTGGAGAGAGTGAACTTTGTGGAGGGGGTTAGAAATGGAATAAAGAAGGTACTGGAGTCTGCCTGCTCCCCACTGAGGCCTGACATTTGAGACACTGGGAAGTTGGAGACATGAAACCCAGGGAGCCAGGGGAGCTGGCAAGTCTGAGCACCCAAAAAAATGTACTCTGAACTCTGCTGCCTGCTCTGCTCTCTGTCAAGGGCAAGGCTCACCTGTAGGTTTGAAACATTTCCATGCCTTCAACTTTACCTTTTATTTTTATACCCATTATGGGGTCCTTCTCAAGTTACATTAGAGCAGATACTGACCCCAGCTTCTCCCAAGCCCCTAAGTGTCCCTCTACCTGTTTTTCTGAAGAAATGATTTAACAGGAACAATGAGGATACTCAGAAACCTACAGTTACATAAAACAGGGCCTTAAGTGTGTGCCATCTCCTGCTCCATCTCTACCTGTTCCTCCTCCTGCCACACCCCATTCATCACTGCAAGGCCCCTCCATGGACTTCCCATCCTGCAACTGCCAAGGATCTCCACCTATCCTCTGCCAAATCCCCTCCTTCATTTCTACCTTCTTCTAGTCCCCGCACCCCATTTGGTCCCCAATACCTCTAGGGAATCGCTTGTCATGGAGGATGAGTTTGAGCTCAAGCCAGGCTTCTATCTTCCTGTAGCGCCCCTTCTCTGGGCTCTCTACAGTTTCCCCTCATAGCCAATTATCTATTTCGCTCTCTAAATAGATCAAGACCCTTTCTCTTTCTGCCTCCCTACCCTCACAACTCATGTTTTGTTTGTGTGTTTGTTTGTTTTGTTTTTTTCCCCTGCACCCTGCCTCTCTCCCCACAGGCATCCAGAGGGTAAGCTGCATGCAGGCATCTCCTTAGGCAGGATTTCTGTGGATGAAAATGAAGACACTACTTGGAATTCCTTCCTGACTAAGGAGTTCAAACTAGCATTTTAAACCAGTGGTGAGCCTTGTTCAGTGAGACCCACAGAGAAGGAAACATTCCGAGGGAAGTTTTTTCCCCAAGACCCTAACGACCCTCTGCCAGCAGGCTCACTCTGCCCCCTTTGGAGGAACATGTCTATTTTTAGGTGCACACCAATGTGCCACACAGCCCGAATATAAAATGGCCAAATCTCCCACCTGTACTGTTCTCCTCAAGTCTCTGCAGCTGCGTGTCAGAGAGGACCCAAACCTCCTTCCTTCTGACATGTCAGGTCCCACTTAGGGAGAGACTTCGTAAGAAATCTTATTATAGACCATCCTCTAACACCAAAATTTCTTCACCATGACCCTCTCCCTTCCTTCTTCCCAAACCTACATCCTGTTTCAATTTTCAGACCCACCAGGCCACAATAATAAAACCAGAAGCTAAAGTCAGGGCCCAAGTTCCACAGGAAGCCCAGTGTTCCTCAGGGTTACCACCCTCTTCCCCAGCCCCTCCCCTGCTCCATTCTCTTCTGACCTCCCTGTACACTGACTTGCCACCCCCAAAGCTGTTTTAGGGGCGGCTTAATGACCCCAATACACTCTCCCAGTGCCTCAGCTCATCTCTTAACCATTATTAGTCTTTCCCAGAGCTGTAGGCCACACATCCTCACAGGAATCTCCCACAAGGTAGAAAAGAGGACTCAGGCAGCCTTACCTCGCTGTTTTGTTGATAGAAGTAGAGCCCTCTTGTCTCTAAATCCTCCCCTTCTCTCCCTATTCTCCCAGCCCCAACCTACGCCAAGATTTACCTTGTTACCATGGCAAATGTAAACCCCTGAGCCAGCTGCCCACCTCTGACGTTTCTTCCAGCCCAGCCCTGACCAAGGATAGCTTACTCCAGAGGATCAGCACCTAAGACCCCCGACCACTTCTGTGAGTCTCCTATGCCTGCGAAGGAGTCCAGTCGGCCTTGAGAGCCACTGAGCCATCCCTAAGCTCCCCCGGCCAGTCACACTCGGGAGGGATCTGCCTCGCAATCCCAAAGAGGATCCACAGCCCTCGCTTCCCACCACTCTGGCCACTCTGTCCCTCACCCCAGCTACCTTGCTGTCGTGGTGGATAAGCTTGAGCTCGTAGTCCGGCAATATGTCCCTGCGGCTGTTAACGTCCTCCAGCGCCATCTCCACCGCGGGCTGGCAGGCCTGGCCCCCCGGCCAGCCCCCGCTCATGGGAAACAGCGCCCCGATGTACACTGCACGCCGTTCTGAGGAGGGGTGCGGGGGTACCCTCGGGTGAGGCCGCGGGAGATGGGGGGAGTGAGAGGCCCACACCGGAGCCATCCCAGCCGCTATCACCAGCAGAAGAGGCAGCGGCCACCCCACCGGGGGACAGGGGGCCCCAGGGCCCATGGCGGGGAGGGGCGGGGGAGGCCTCTTTGTGGTGGGGGCAGCTCAGGGGGGACACTTCTTCCGGGGAAGGCTGCTGGGAGGGCGTCGGGGAGGCGCCTCCATCCCCGGTCTCATGGGGAGGAGGGGGCCGGAGCCCGGGGAAGGCAGAGACGTGGGCTTCCTAGGGCCAGGCGGCGCTGGCTCCCGCCACCGCGGACTCTCCTCGCCGACTGACCGACCGACAGAAGGGAGGAGGGAGAAAAGGAGCTAGGAGGGGGGCCTTGACGTCACGGGCAGGGGGCGGGGATAGGAGCCAGTGCCGAGGCCCGGAGGGGAGGGGAGAGGAGGGAGAGCGAAAGGAAGGGAGGGGGTCTCTGACTAAGGAGACTAAAGGGGAGGATACGGAGGGGTTTGGATGTGATCGGGAGCGAGAGAGGGTAGGAAGGGGTGGTGACAGTTCTGAAGGGGGCTATGGGGAGATGGAGCGAAGGGTGGGAAGAGCGAGAGCGCTGGGTAAGGGTTTGCGGAAAGACTCGTGTGGAGAAAGGGAGGACTCGCATGGAGAAGTGAGGGTTAGGGGAAGGATGGTGCGGCTGAGGAAAGGGTGATGGGGAGAAGGGTCTACGGAGGGTGCGAGGCCCCGCGGGAGTGGGCCCTGTGAGTAGTCTCGATGTGAGGACCTCCCTGGCAAAACCTGGGCAGCGGGGGACAGGAACAGGTCCGCGAGGTCTGAAGGCACCCCACGAAGGAGACCTGGGGTCCTCCGGCGCGAGGCTGCCCCCTGCCGGGCTTCGCGCGTGGAAGCTGAGTCCGAGAGCAGCGGGAGCCGGAGGAGTGTGGCCAGGCAGGGAAAGGGGAGGGAGCGCGACCCGCGGAACCCCGCGTTTTGGTGGCAAGAAACAAGTAGGGAGAGGAGGACAGGACCGCAAACTAGAATGGGTGGGGGGAGATGAGTAACAGGACACCCACAACCTACGGAAAGAAATCCTGGAGGGTGAAGAGTGAGGGGGTGGGGTGGCAGCGCACGCGGGAAGGGTTTCTGATCTCACCTGAGTGTGGCGTTCGATTCACTGGCAGCAGGAAAGACGGGGATCAGAGAAGAGTTACCAGTGGCGCCCAGCTTCCCAGGCCTGCTCCCCAGCCCCCTCCCACACCTGTTCATGCGGAGCGAAGACTGCGTTGAGGGAAGGGTGCCTGGGGATAAGAGCAAGGCGGGGCTGCGGGTCAGGACTTGGTGTTTCTAATTTTCAAAGGACAACAGAATTTGTGCCACCAAGTAAAAGGGGTCGGGTCGGGGTATAGCTTAGTTTTGCAGAGCTTGGATTTTTTTTTTTTTTTTAATCTATGGTCTCTTTAAGAAAAAAAAATTACAAATACAATTGGTTTTAAATGATTGCTATTTAAATTTAGTAAATTCTTCAAAAGTTGGTCAGCATATGAACACATTCTTAAGAGCTCAAAATAAAGTCTTAGTCAAAACTGAAGAACCCTGAAGTTTAATTTTCATTCCAGAAGAGAAGAATATATACAAGAGTTTGGGTGCTCAGACAAGGGAGATGTTTGCGAAAATGGCAAAGAGGTGGGAAAGAGCTGGTAGACACAAAATCATTATTCCTTCAAGGAATGATCGAGGCTGTAAAAGGTATACACAAGGCCCACGGTCTTGCCATTTGCCACTGAGCAATTCTGATCTTATTCTCATCATTCTGCCCCTATTTTTGCCTTTTCCATGTTTCCAATCCCAGATCTCAATGACCTTTTTTCTAAATGTAATTTACGATTTACTTCTGAATATTTGCAGTAATTCCATTATAGAATAAAGCAAAGGATCAATTCTAGAAGAGTGATATTCAAGTGTACAGAATGGGGATGGCTTTTCCAGGGGAGGGGGGAAACGGTCTTTAAACATTAAGAAGGTGAGGGTGAGTGAAATTAATGATGAAAAAGAGGAAGAAAAAAAGGCTCAAGATTTGAAAGCAGGAAGAACACTCTAAAGGTTATGGAGGGAAGCCCAACAAAGTGAATTCAAAGGACTGTAGAGCCAAATCTGAGGCAGATGGATGGTGTAAAGAGTTGGGCTTTGACCTCCGTCTTTCCAAAGTCCTCCCTGACATTCTTCACAGCATCCATCCATTCCCACCCCGCTCCCACTCAGTACCAACACCCCTTCAGCTGCAGGGGGCAGCTGTTCCCCTCACCCTGGCAGTGGGGCTTGGGGGCGCTCCACTGGCCCTGACCACAGATGCTGCGGGAGCTGCCCACCAGGTGGAAGTCGGGGTCACATCGGAAATCCACCCTGGCTCCATCCAGAGCTGGGAGGTCCCCACCCGTCAGGAAAACCTTCCCATTTTCCAGGGTCAAATAAGACTTGGAGCAGATTCGGACTGTAGAGAGACAGGAAAATAAGAAGAAAGGCAAGTTGTAGGGAACAGGGAACTCAGGTTGTCTGGGTTCACAAGCATCCTGCTCCCCACAGGTGTGCAATGTTTACGCCTCCCTACTTCCCCCCCCCTTTCTCCCCAGCTCCTGTATCCACATCCCTATCAGAAAAAGAGAAACAGCATTTCTATTGTAGGAACCCAAGATGGAGCTATAAGCACACAAAATAGGAACTGCTCACAGCACAGCAAAGTGGTTGTTCTCTGCCTTTGAAATGTGTAGATGTATGTAAATTTGGATGCATGATCAGGCTTGCTTTTCTTATGGCTGGTCTATACTACTACTAAATTGGCTCATACTGGCATTGAGTTGGAGACAAGTGTCAGAAAATGTAATAAAATATTTTTATAACTCAAAAAAAACCTATCTCTCACTAATGATTCTCAAAGGCCAACTCAGATGAAAATCAAAGTTATTCCATCTAATGATGAATGCCCTAATGAAGAGGATGAAATGAACGTGCTGGCTGCTAGCTTGCTGCCTCCCACTAGCTGCTCACAGCGGCACCCCTCCTCCCACATAGTACTCATTCATTAAATGTATTTGTGGATTTCGTTCCACTGGATTTAAATTGCTGCCTGGCAAAACAACCAAGGTTGGTTTGCAAACGAGAAAGGAATGGCCGGATGGAGGGGGGCTGGCTCCCCAGGCTACTCACCACAGCGGCTGGGCGTGTCCATATCCGTCCAGGAGCCGTTGGCCAGGCACTTGCGCACCTTAGGCCCCACCACCTCACGCTCCCCCCGGCACACATATTCAATCTCATAGTCCACGGGCAGGAAGTTGATGGCCTTCACCTGGTCGCGAGTCAGGCCGCGGTACCTGATGCCCCCTTCCCAGGGCGGGTGTATGATCTGGCAACCTGAGAGGGAATAGGGAGGCACAGTGGAACCGTGGGAGCGGGAAGGCAGCGCTGCAGAGGAAGGAGGAAGAGCAGGGCGTGGTCAATGGTAGGGTCGGGGTGGGGACAGAAACGGAGGTGGGGGGACGACCGGAATGTGGGAGTGGGAAGAGTTGAGAACCCCAGGCTACAGAACCCAGAGTCACAGCTTAGGGATAACGGTGATGCGAGAGTCCACCGGCAGAGAAGTGTAATGGGGAAAAAAGGGCTAAGAGAGAACCATAAGGACCATAATGCTCGGTGGTTAAAATGAGGGACCACGGCTGAAGAATACCGGAGCTTAAAGAGAAGAGAACCACACAAGCCCATCTGAGCCGCAAGGTGGACCACGGAACGGGGGCGCTGTAGTAATGTGGAGCCCGGAGAGGGAGGTGGGGCTGAGAAGATAATTCGGGGTCACAGAACAGCAGTGTAGTGTAGCGACGTGAGGCCGAGGAAATGGTGGTGGTGACAGAAAGGAGGTCAGGAGTAGTGGAGTGGCTGCGGACCGGGAAGCCGGAGGGGGAGGGTGTCCTGACGCGAGAGTGATGAGGGATGGAGACGTGCAGGGAAAGGAGCTGCAGGGTGAAGAGGTCGGGGCGCCGGAGGAGGGTGCACCTTCCGAGGTGGCGTTGGGGGTCTGCGCCCCGCCAGCGCCCAGGGGGCGGAGGAAGAGAGGCGCCAGCAGCAGCAGCAGCAGCATCTGAGGAAAAGGCGGCCGTGAGAGCACGGCGGAGCCCGCCGGCAGCGGCCTGGACCAGCCGACGGACAGATCTCGCTCTGCGCGCCTCCCAGGCTCCGACCGCGCGGCTCGGGACGCGGAGGGCGCCCCGCGGAGGAGGCGGGGGCGGAGCCGCACGGGCTGGGGGAGAGGAGGAGAGAGCGCCTGTCCCCACCCTCCTCCGGCCTCCCTCGGCCCCCCACCCTCCCGGGACTCCACCTCTCTCCACCTCCTCTCTGCGGCCCCTGTGGCTAGCGCTAGCCCAGCTTACCGACGCTCGGGGTCCCGCTGCCCCATCGCTCGCACCCGCCCCCCGCCTTCACCGTCGGCCTTGCCCAGCGTCCACCGGCCTCCTCGCGCGCCCCTCTCCAAGCCCGGCTCCTGGGGCCCTGCTCTTACCTCGGCGGCCGGTCCCGCTCCCCGGCTCTCCCCGGGCCTCAAGGCCCCAGGCCCGGCCGCTGCTCCCGGTTCTCCCCCCCGGTCCTCCAGCTTCCCCTCCCCCTGCTCTTCCCCAGGAATCCGGGCTCCAGCCCGGCTGGGGTCTCTCCCCTCCTCGCTCGCTATCCGCAAACCCCACCCCCGTCTCTCCTTCCCCGGGGCGACGGCGGCCGCGAGAGCGCGGTGCCGGGAGGGAAGGAGGCGGCGCCGGGAACGGGGAAGCTCTCGGGCGGAGGGAGGAAGGAGGGTGCTGGGGAAGACGGGGCGGGGGGAAGGGAGGGGGAGACCGGGCGAGGGCGCCTCCCACAACCGGAGCCCCAGGAGCCGCCCCGGATCCCGGCCCCTCCTTAGACCGCCCACGGCGCCGGAGAGCGTAGAGGTAGGATGGAGGGGACACTGGCGCTCACGCACGCGGGCGGGGACAGCACTGCCGAGAGACCTGAGGTCCAGACTGCTGGAGACTTGGGGGGGGGGGGGCGACCCAAGCCTAAACAGAGGCGCTGGCACGGAGACAGGGGCCTGGATGAAGGTGGAGAAAGGATGTTTGTACAAAGGGAAAGAAGGCAGACCTGGATCCTGGGAAAAGGAGGGAAGCAGGTGCCAATGCCTGGAGAACAGACCTTGAAAGAGCAAGGGTCCGAAGGGCAGCCAAGGGTGGAGCCACCTGAGCGGGAGAGAAATGGAGAGCCGCACCTGGGAGCCCAGAGTGGCGCCGTGGTCCAGCGGTAGGCTACTTGCCGGCTTATGCGGGGAGCAGAAGATCAGGGCCGTCAAGGAGAGAAACTGAGGTAGATGGAGGAAGGAGGGGACATTAAGAAAAGAGAACCTCTAGGTGGGCAGTAACCATCCACACTCGGACCATGCCGAATACCAGGGGTTCTTGATTAAGGGCAGACTAGCACCCAAGACTCCTGTGTTGCGATTCTCATTAATAATGATGCTAGGCAGAAAGATGAGAAGAAGGAAGGAGGGACGCTCCTTTGCTGGCTAGCTCTTCTGAAAAGGTGGGAGGAAACCAGATATTTGTGAGACCCAGAAGAACGGAGGCTCTCAACCTTCAGCCCTGTTAGAACAAATATTTGTAATGACTCCCAAACCACGAACTGGTAATAATAGATTACATCACTTCCCTGCTCACGCAACTAAAAAGATCAAAATATTTCCCCATCTATAAGGAGGAGCATAGCAATTTGTAATAAAAGAATATAAACCGTATTTGAATGTGTGAGTGCCCAGTTTCCCTCGAAACAGGCAGATGCTTACACCGCCCCATAAAGTCACAGAAATGGAACTTCTACCAACACGCACTGATACAGGTGCAGACCAGTGACTCAGCTACCCCGGCATGTTGCCGTCAATGAAGACCTTAGGAAATGTTGAGCAACTCTTGGTAGCAAAGTAAAGCTTTCCCCAAACTCTCACAGAACGGTAATTGCATTCCTAGAAAGTTAGCTGCATATTCAGACCAGTGAAAGAAAAACTATTAAATTCTAGGCTCAGATAATTAAACACAAGTTTTCACCTACATGAATGTCCCAGGGGACTTCTGAAAATCTGGATAAGAGGTAACTCTTTATCTGGCAGGAGGATAGCTTTTACACCAGCTCTGCCCATAAGTGCACCACCTCTCACGCCACTAAACACAAAAAAGAAACCAACTAAACGTTTAAATGTTGCCTGGAAAGAGACTGAGGACCGCTGGGATAAACAATAAACAAAAGAGAGTAGGACGGATTTCTAAAAACTGGAAATGACAGCCATCCTTCTCTGAGAGGCCTACCCTCTCAACAGGACCAAACAAAGGAAATTTGGCCAACTCCACCAGCAAGAGGAGTTTCCCTGACAGTCAGAAGAGCTGGCTGGCTCTGGGTGGGGTCTGAAAGCTAGTCCTTCTGTCCAGCCATACACCTGTCTTGAGCGTTACCATGTGATCTTGGACCCCTCCAGACCCAGCAGGACCCTGCTACAATGAAACATGAGGAAGCATGCTCTCTGGATCACAAAGCACTTTCAGACAAATGCTTACACAAATCCTTGTATAAGCATCCTGATATGCTCACCTCTACAACACCCTGTAGCTGCCATTTTCTCCTTTCATACCTTTGCGTTCTCCAATACGATTTCCAGAATACCTTGTCCATGTTCCTCAAGACATCTGTTTAGAACTTTCCCCAAATCACAGTGTTAACACTATTCTTCCTGCAGATAATGTATTTAGTGGGAGATACAATGTTGGGGCTGGACTTAGGGCTTCACACATGCTAAGTGTTCCATTATTCCTCTAGCCCTCCACTTCCTTCTTTTCCTTCTACAACAAATATAAAAAGTATCTCTCTTCTAGAAAGGTCCTCAGGCACAATCCCTTCTATACAAAGTGTGCCTTCACAATGCTGGCTCCTTTTTGCAGTTTTTTGTCATTTTTCTATGGAAATAGGAGTTTCCACTTAGCTCCCCAGAGAGTGGCCAATATTCTTGTTTATTTTGTTTCCCATATTCCCCTTCTAACTCCTGCCCACCCCCAGAGAGCATAAAGCTTAACAGCATCGGAAGCCATGAAAACAAAATAACCAAAGTAGCCCAGTTTGTTGATGATGTAGAAAATGATGGGTTCTTTGGGTAGATGCCACCTAGCCCTCAGACCACCACACACGGTAAATAGTTGCTCTAAACTGCTTTGGAGAAAGTAAAAAGCAAAACAGGGTAGCACAGCTAGAAGTCAGCAGAGACAGCATTTGAACTTCAGCTCATTATTCTGCATCCAAATTAAAAAACTTTGGACAGCTTCACCATGCAGTGCTGGCTGGCTTGCAACTTGATAAAATAGGGCAGCCTTTGGCTAATGGTGATCCTCCAGCCCCTACCTCTTGAGCACTGGAGCTAAAGCTATGTACCATCATGCCTAGCCTTGTATTCAAATTCTTCACATTACATTTCAGAGTTTAGTTTTGCCCAGGCATAGCACATGCCAATAACCTGAGCACTTGGAAGGATGAGGCTGGAGAAAGACCAGCTCAAAGCTAGTCTGTGTCACGCACAGTTTGAGACCAAGGTGGCATTTAGTCTTTGGGGTTTGTTTGTCTGTATGGTTGTATTGTTATTGTTTTGTTTAAAGTATTGTTTTTTGGTGTTTTTGTTTTAGAGAGACTGTCTTAAGTATGTAGCACAGTCTGGTCTCAAACTCTCAAATTTAATGGGTAGCAAGGATAACTTTAAAGTCCTAATCCTCCTGCCTCCACCTCCTGAGTGCTGGGATTATAGGCTTGTGCCAGTGGCACTGGAACCCTTGCTTGGTCTTCATGAACTCCTTTCCTCCAGAGTGAAGGACCTGTTCTTCAGGGACCTTTCTGTCCCATATATCTTGTGTTATTTAAAAATATGTATAGGATAAGACTTCAAAATTAAGGCATTGATCTTATTTACACTCTGGGCATCACTATTTCCGTGTGTGTGTGTGTGTGTGTGTGTGTGTGTGTGTGTGTGTGTGTGACTAAACACTTGCAGAGAGCTGTGCAATGACTCCAATCTCAGCACTTAGGCAGCTTGGGGCTGAAAAGATGATAGAGTCAGAGGCCAGGGCGGCTACATAGTGAGTCCCAGGCGAGGGCTCTGGGCTTTACTGTGAAACGCTGTCTCCCTCCCTTACCCCAGACAGCTTCTAAAAAACAAAAACAAACAAGCACACCCACAACGACCACCAGAAATGTACTGCTGGTGTATCTGGAAGTTGGAAGCATAAGCTTGAGGTTGCACGGCTTCTTCACAGATGCTGCCCACCTAGCTGCATCCCGACAGTGAGCTTGTGGAGGGGATGCCCAAGCCCCTCTTCCTGGACCTCTGCGCCCCCACCTCATGCTGAGGAATCCAACCCAGGCCTTGTGTGTGCTAGGCAATCATTCTCCCACTGAGCCAAATCCCCAGCCAAAGCGGGCTCTCATAAAAACACTAATCACCTCCCCAAATGGCCACCTCTGACTATATCTCACTGTGTGAGCATCAGGTCCCAGCACGTGAACTGGGAACCAGGGGAAGCAAACATTCAGGCCACAGTGTGTGTTCTTGATAGCTCTGGCCTTGCTTCTCCATCCAGGCAAAGGCGGTGGAAGATTGCTTACTGCTGCCGTGCCATTGCAACCATACACAAGTAAGCCTAGGCTAGTCTAGAATTCACAGCACATCAGTGAAATGACCCATTCGCCAGCTCACATCTCCCTGCCTCAGGCACACTCTGAGCCAACAGCCAGGTTACCAAGCTGGCAGTGCGAAGTACCTCTATAAATAATGTCTCCACAAGTAAATGCTTATGTAATAAATGAAAGAGCAGTTTAATTGTTAGAGTAGCCAAAGCAATAACAAATCACTGAAGCTTATCTTTACAGTATAGATGAGTATAGGCTAACTGACCTAAACCAGTTTTTACCAGGCTCAGTTTTTACCAATACAAATTTGGTGCACATTCCTACTCCTGTAACTATGAAATTATCAGGTTTTTAAATATTTAAAATAAACTAAGAATTATATGTGTGTGTGTGTGTATATACTGGTGAGCCTACCACAGCAAAGCAGGCAGGTCCTGCCCAGACCCAGAAAACCACAGGAGCCACATGAGATCCTAGAGGAGGAGAAAGCCAGGAACAGGTGTGCTACTAGCAGTGCTTTAGCAACTGAGAGTAAATAAACACCTGCTGGACTTACTCTTCCTCGCCTGTCTTTTCAAACCGCCACTCTGGAACAACAGCATGACTCATACACACCTTCAGATGCCTTCAATATTTGCTACACTTGAATCTGCGCAGAGCACCTTTAATGGTGCGTAATTTACATTATGTTCTCTTCTAATTCATTCTTAGTCTCTGTCTGTCTGTCTGTCTCTCTCTCTCTCTCTCTCTGTGTGTGAGTGTGTGTGTGTGTGTTATGCTGGTAACAAAGCTCAGAGCCTTGTACATATAGCCAAGCACTCTAGCAATGAGCCATATTTTCCAAGTTCTTCTGTCCTGTCCTGACATCTCCACATGTCAAATGAGAAAACTGG